AAATTTTGAGCCAATTTTGGCATAATAACCCCCATAACATGGTGGAATGAAGCAGGTTCATTTGAAATAAATTGAGGATGAATGTAAGAAATATAATTATACATCAGATCTATTGATGACTTGGAGTTCGTTGTGGTGGATTTAGTGGTAGGGTTGCAGGGGGGTGTGCACCCTCTCTTTATCCTAAGTTTATTCTAATTCTAACCAACTTAAGTTAAGAATTCAAGGCAGCTGGTAGCACTAGTTCACAATAGCAAATATTAATATTAAATATTCTGAATTTTGCTGTAAACATCCATCGTTATAATTTATATTGTATCAGCTCAATGGCCACCCGCAGCTCACATAGCAGGGCCAGCACCCCCCCCAAAAAAAAAAACCCTCCTGGATCCACCACTGATCCAATCAAGTTTATTTATCAATAATGATGTTGTGTTTCTTTGCACTTTATTGAAAACAGATTTCTTATTTACTTAATGTCATAAAACTAATCCATTTCAAATGTACAACGTGGATTGAACATTTAATGTGTTAGGTTTCATGAAATGATTGTGCCAGAAATTGTGCAGTGATTCATAATAAACATGTGCGACAAAATATAGACTGTGCCACAAAAGGTCATTTATAATAATCGATCATTGCGGATATGCAGATATGCAATGACAACAATGTTAACATTATAATATATAATAAAATATAATACTACCTGAAGAGGTCACAATTTTCCTTTTAGATTTTCGGTAACCAGGACTTGGGGTAAATCTAGGACCTTGCCTTTTCTTGCTTTTACTTATTCTAGACGGACTTGATCGAGGGCTTGATACAGTCGCTCTGGTTTCTTCATTGTAATACGAGTCTGCTTAAAATAATTACAAAACAAATGAGGTGAAATCCGATGCCCTTGACTATAAATATACATTAATATTAATATATGTCAGCACCATTCAAATTTAGCATACTTATTCATATGAAGTCAAGCGTGGGCGTTAAATTATTTGATTACAATTTTGATGATAAAAATATAGTTTTCGGACCTTACCTTGCATGTTATGCGCCATTTCGCAATCAGGGCAGTTTCAGGGCAGTTTTGGCCTTGTTGTTGGGAAATCCACTAGGCCTTCTATTTTTTCTTCCTTCACCCCGCCCCCAAATCACCTAGTCCCAGTCTTTTCATGTGAAAAAGCGCTGAATATTAAAAATATATAAATAAAAATAGAAGGCCTAGGTCTAGGCTGGGAACTAGCCAAATAAAAAGTCTCTTATGTTCTGGCAATATACGTTTTTTGCTAAGACAAAAAAATAGTCTATAATGGGAATTGTCTATTGGTCCCCATTATCTATTTTTGTTTCTCTAAATAAAGAGCTACAGTTTTTGTTTCTCTAAATAAAAATGAAGAGCTAGGCGGAGATCAAAATTTATGTTCTTGTTTTGCCTGTTGGGGGCTTTGAAAATTTTACTTGTCTTCAGAGGGGGGCAACGAAAAAATATAACTGTAGAGTTTCTCCTCAGTCTCCCCTGTACATTAAATAATGAGCAGTCCCTAAAGATATTGGCAGATGATACAAATGTATTTGCTTCTGCAAGTGACTTAAAATCACTAGAAATCCTTATGAATTTGGAATTAGAAAAGATCAAAGAATGGTGTGACAACAATAAACTATCAATAAACTTATCCAAAACGAATTTTATGATAATTAAGTCACCAAAGAAAAGACATGAGCGTTGATATACACATTAAGACAAAGGACGGATCATGCCACTCCTTGGACCGGAAAGATCATATCAAATACCTAGGGGTTATGATTGATGCTTCGCTATCATGGAAATATCACGTTTCATACATTTGTTCACAAATATCTCGAAACATTGGAATTCTCTCCAAATTCAGGCACAATCTTTCCATTAAACAGCTCCGACAACTCTATTACAACCTTATATGCCCTTTTATATCGTATTCCATCTTAGCTTGGGGAAGTGCATATAAATATCATATTAACAAAGTACAAATAAAACAAAATAAAGTTGTAAGAATAATCTTCTAGATATTTTAATAATCTAAAGCGCTCTCCCCTTGCTAAATCTTCTAGATATTTTAACAGTAAATAATGTCTACTCCCTGCATGCCCTTAAATTTATTCATTTAAGGCATAAAGGACTTTTGCCAAATTTATTTAATGTATTTTTTCAATATGCGAGCAATATTCACAATTACAATACTAGATATGCGTGTAAACAAAATCTGTATAAACCATGTGTGAAATCAAATACCTGAAAACAGATGATCTCTTTCATAGTAACTGAAAACTCCCTGATCAGCTGAAGGATCTAAATATATTTTCCTTTTCCAAAAAGTTGAAACATCATTTACTGACACAACAATATCTTGCAAGAAATAATTGATTCTACTTAATCATGATATACTTAATCATGAAGTATAATATAAATAATAAATATTCTTCCTTCTGGAACCTAATATATTAAAATAGTGTGATTTTTCTTTCTTTTGGATTTTCTTACCTCTTTTTTCTAAATAAAAAATTAACAGTAACTGGAGGCTAACTCGAAAACGTCAGTTTATTTAGCGTTCAAGCTCTAAAATTATAATTATAATATATTTATTTAATTAAAAAAAAATGCAACCTTTATAGTTGTATATGTATTTATAATTTATTTTTCCATGTAAAATTATTGAGCAAAATACACTTGACTTGACTTACAAAGTTTTGTGGCTGGATCGCCTCGGTAAACATGGAGGTGGTGTCTGTGTCTTTACTTGCAACTCATTGAAAACAAAAATTATAAAGGATATATATGTAATTTCATCAACCGGTTTTCATCAATTATGGATACACGAAAATGAAATCTATTGTGCTATGTGTTGCCTATAGACTTCCTGATTGTCCAGTTTCATGTGCACTTACTTTCTTATTCATATGCACTTACTTTAGGAAAAGATATATTCATAGTGGTGATGTAAATAGTCCAGAATCCAATGTGTTGAACAAATTGTGTACCAGCTTGAATTTATTCCAACTTATCAAGGAACAAATTAGGGTGACTTTGCAGTCTTCATCTCTCATCAATGTGATTTTAACATCTAACACAAGCTTGGTCATGGAAAGTGGTGTTGAAGAAACACACATTAGTGACGACTTTCTGGTTTATGCAATACTAAAGTTTAAATTACGTAAGTAATTACCTGAAAATATAGTCACAAGAAGTTTTAAGAATTATTCTTCTGGAGCGTTTCTCTGATGATTTGTGTTGTTAGAAATGGCAACTTGTCGATGACCGGGGGAGGAGGGGTTGCTAATTATTGTGAAAGATGGGATGGGACATGCAAAATTATACTTATATTGATAATAATATGTTATTATGTAATGTTTTTTGAAATTCATTACTTGGAAATTGTCACTAAATTCCAAGAACTCTAACACAACAGAAAGCTATATTATTTGAATTTGCAAGATTCTTGACAATGCAGCGTTGATTTAAATAAAAAAAATGACCACTGAGTCTGAGCTACCAAGAAGAACAGTCCGGAAATGCTATTTGATAAGTTATAGCCAAGCGGACAGCCAGAAATTTCCGACAAGAGATTCTTTCACATCAGCTGTTGTACAATCATTTTCTGTTTGCAAGACAAAGAGCAAAATGTTACACTGGGCGTGCAGTAGAGAGCCCCACAAAGATCATGGTTTTCACTATCACATGTCAATAAAATTTGATAGCATTCGAAGGTGGCTAAAATCAAAGGAATATCTAATGAAATATCATGGTATTTTTGTCCATTTTAGTGATAATTACAATGACTATTATACCGCATACAAATATGTTACAAAAATGGATGTGGAAGCATTGCAGAGTGAGAGTCATCCTGATTTGAAATCAGCCGCTGCTCCAAGAACTGAGAGAGCTATAGCTACTTGGCACAGATCTTCAAAGCAGAAGCGAGACGATGCTCAAACTCAATCGGCCAATTTGTGATGCTCGTTGGCATCACTAAAAACAACTGAGAAGCCCCTGAAACATTGTCGCTTGACTGCACATGATGTTGGGAAAACAATTATTGACAAAGGGATCAAGAGTGACATCAAGCTTATGGTTCTAGCCAAACAGCAGGATGTTGAAGGGAAGGCAGATCTCACCCAATTCATTTATAACCAAACACCAAAGAAGTTAAATGATTTAATTGCCACAGCCTGGAAAATGGAAATGGCGGCAACAATTTTAGAAAGACTTAACATGTTGAGAATGTCTGTTGTAGAAACTGCATTAGAAGAAAATTGTGTTGATGGGTGTGATACGATCTGGATTAAATGTGGGAAAGAAGTATTGAGAAACAACAAGGTGAATGCATATGTCTTTGCTGCAGCCATTTGTGACCTTCTTGAGAAGGGAAGAGGAAAGAACCGTAACATGATAGTAGGCCCTGTCAATTGCGGCAAAACATTCCTGTTAAATCCGCTAAACCAACTTTTCCAAACTTTCACTAATCCTGCAACGAGGATGATTTCAGATGGAGCCCTGAGATTTTGGCGTGGAAGGTTTTGGCGTGCTTTTGTTGGAAGGCCAAACCTTGCATCTTCCTGCGCCAAAAACGCATTTTGCCAAGGACATTGTCTTTGACAGAGATACTCCAATTTTTGCAACCAGTAAAGGTCTGATTGTTTTCGTGGGCAAGTTACTTGTTTACAAGAACCTTGCTATTCTTATATATGTTGTGGCCAGAAGAAAAAAAACATCATGGTCAACCCATTGGAGTGAACTGGATATGAATAACTCCTAACACCTTGGCACTGTTCACCAGTAGAGTCTTTGGAGTTGATTGTGATTGCGTCAAACTGTTGTTTTTGTCTCTTAAAGTCGATGACCATTTCTTTGCACTTGCCAGCATTCAGTTGGAGCTTGTTGACATTAGACCACCTCTTGAAATCAGTAACAACGTTCTGGATAAAGGTTTCACCATTCCGTGGAACAACTTCAGCTAACATGGTGTCATCTACATACTTCCAAGCGTGTGCTTCAGATGGATTGAGGTTATTGATCATTAACAGGAACAACCAGCGTCCTAGCTTAGTTCCCTGAGGGATGAGATGATGGAACAGCACCCCATTCAGATGGAACAGCACCCCATTCAGATGGAACAGCACCCCATTCAGAGGGAAAGGACTTTGTCAACTTTATGGAGATATTGCCCCTTTAGGTGATGAGTGACATGAAAAACAAAGTGTCACTGCTTTACAAATATAAATTCTCATTGAAAAAAACTAGTGATATAATATAGGTATGCAAGGTCATCCAAACTAAATTTGGTCAATCATTTTTCACTCATGTTTGGTTGAAAAGATCAGACTTTTTTATGCAATTGTTTCTGAGGTATTGCCATTTTGGTGAAAGCTTGGAATTCAATCATGAATTCGCCATATTGCTTGCCAGTTTAGGGAGTGGAAACATTGTAAGAACTTGCCAGTTAATGAGTTAATATCTGCCTGCATGCTTTCTTGGCAAGTTATGTCAGCCCCGTATCCAAAACATGTTGTATAAATATGGTGATAGATATTTTATGGTATAAATACTTTTATTGGTGGCATTAGACCAGTAGACTTCGATCCCCCTATCTTTGACCAAAATGCCCTTCCAATTTCCCTCAAATAGCTGTCGATGAAGGGGCCCTAAAAATAAAATAAATTTAAAAAAATAATAATAATAAATAAATAAATAAAAAATAAATAATAATAAATAATAAATAGCTGTCTGTGCTGAGTGGTTATATTACTACCTTAAAAAACAAGCAGAAACTCAACGTTCCGAGCGAAAGCCCTTCGTCAAGAGTTAGTATAAAAACCCATGCATTCCCCCCCCCCCCCCCCCCC